CCGTACATGACGGCATCATTAGATGAAGAGCTCGAGGTATGGAATATATTGGACATGGATGCCGATGGAGAGCCCTCTACAGAGACTTCGGAGACAATAGATGGCGCATGGGGGAACCAGCCAGATGCATTCACTAGTGCAGTACTTGGAATATGATACATAGTTGCTGCACTGACAAAGGGGAGCGGCGAGAGTAGATGAGAGGGTAGGTGGAAGAAAGTGGGTTGGTGATACAGTTGTAGGGATCGGAGCGCTGATTTGAGATTATTAACAGATAGCAGAGATGCTTGGGAAACTGTTGTGCAATGTTTGATGTCAAACGGATGAGTGGGGAGAGTTCGACAACTCAGACCGCGGGGAGGACGAGCAGACGGGTGAATTAGGCGCTGAGACGAACGGGTGAAAACGTCGAAGTTGCTGGGTCGCCGACAGGCGCGTGAGCGTGCGAAAGTGTACCGTTCACCTTGTCGACATGTCGACAGGTTTACTATACCTGTAAACCTGGTCAACGGTTGCGTCGACCCGCACATCCCTGTACTTAGCTGTGCTGTGCGCAGGTTCGCGGAGGGTCGTCGAGTGATTTTCTGTTGCGCACTGAGGCGACCAACGGCGCCCGCTGATCCTGATCGAACTCACTTGCGACTCCTGGCACCTGATGGCAGTGCTACAAATTCGCTTCGCGGACTAATATTGAGCGCCAGACCCCGAGGGTACGGGGCGTGCGTAGTGCCCATCCTTGCGTCTTTAACTTCAGCTCAAGCGGGTCTTCAGGGCTGCAAACAGTGACCAGGCTCACAAAAGCATGTGAACAATATACCGTCATCATTATACCGCTGGGTGCAATGCTGGAGAATGCAGGACGTTGATTGATGTGGTCTTCCCGCAAAACCTGCAACCTCGGTAGGACTTTGACTGACAGACGTAAGGGCTCTCGAGGATCGGATTGATGCGTACCCACTTCTCGTTCGGCCCCTTTGAAAGTCAGGCACATGTTTCAGATGTTTACTCATGCTAAGACCCAAAGATCAACGAACTCATATCCTATCCTGTCAGCGGGGACCCTTCCGCGTAAATCATGATCTCCTGTTGTGATTCGTCGGCGGCTCCGCAACTCGGGCGCGCTGTAAGGGAGGCCACTTGCCGTTCTTGACGCCGAGGTTTGAAGCGGTACCTTGTCTCCAAGGTGAGCGTACAATGTGTAAGCTAACCGTATGGGGCGGCCCGCAAACGAGCCCATCATTTTGGTCATGGTACGCGTCCAATCAAGGCTCGCACGAGGTATCTGAACGGTATGATGCGCACCAAACATTGCATCTCCCGAAGAGGTCGGGTGGGGTATATAGGCCTTGGCTTCGACACAGTCGATCCCCAGAGTCCTAGCTCATATTTCTTTTCCGCCTTTCTCCTTCCTCTCTCTTTGTCGGTCCCATCCATTGCTTCAGCACTGCGCTCGATTTTTCAAAATGGTCGCTATCAGGGGTCTCGTTGCAGCTGCTACCGCAAGCTATCTTGCTTTAGGCAATAACTGTCCGATCACCGACTACGTCCCGTCGTTCCCTGCCGGCCAAACTACACTCGTCGCTCCTTCCGAAAACCCGAAGTTCTTGGGCCTCGCGTTTGGCGTGCAGAACTACACCTGCTCCAGCGCAAACACTTTCACGTGTGTACCTTTCCCCGGCTCTTGGCCTGCAGCGACTTCCATACTAACAGAGTTCTTTCTCGCGCGCTATTCAGGAGCACCGGCGCGGTCGCAGAGCTCATTGATGCGTCCTGCCTCGCCTCCACCTCCGAGTACTCGACGATCCAGAACGACCTCTACAACGTCTGGACGCAGCTCGTCCCGCAGTCTATCCAGACGGCCATCGACTTCCTCCACAAGGTCAACCCGCCCGTGATCCTTGGCCAGCACTTCTTCAAGCCCAACCCGGTCACCGGCAAGGGCCTGAGCCCCGTCTGGGACTTCCGTTCGAACTCGCGGTTCGCGGGTAACGGAGACGCGTTCGTCTTGGGAGCGGTCAACGGCTCGGTCCCGTCGCCGACGGACTCCACGAAGGACGTCGCTTGGTTGCACGTCCTGAACGTCCAGGGCAAGCTCGCCGACCAGATCTACCGCTACGACACCGTCGGCGGCCAGCCCCCCACCTCGGTAAGTCCGAGCAGTTTCTGCAGACATGAAGCGTACCGACCGATGCGTTTTCAGTGCAACTTTGGCAAGGACGCCGACATCTCTGTCAAATATGTCGCGAAGTACGGTGAGTCTGCCCCTCTCCGCCTATGCCTCTTGGAGCAGTCGATTGATGTTGACCCTTACAGCCTTCTACGGCGGCTCGGTCAACTAACTGCGAGGGGCTTTCCATGGCTGAGCTACGTCTGCTTCAGCCCGGGTCGCAATGGATGTGGGCCTTGACAAAGGCTCATGAGTATTCTCATCTGGCGCGAAAGTCTGCCATACTGTCCTTTACTTGTATTCTGCCAGTATAAGTATAATCTATACGCTCTTTCAACTTAGACAGTTCTCGGTCACGGCTTACCTACGTCCCTAGTCCGGCAGGATGCCGAAGGCTGTGAGAGGCCGCGAAGCGGCGTCATGTAAGTTCTGCACTCGAGCGTTCGGATCCCAGGCCCGGCTTGGGACGTAATCGCATGATCACTGGTATGGTATAGTACAAGGCGACGTGATGGCGCAAGGGTCAGCGTCTATCGAACGACGGCGGATATTCGAATCGTGACTTGCACTCTCTAAGGCTCGCCAAAAGTCAGATCATTTGCTTTCTTGCCCGGGGAGCCTGCTGTACTTGCCTGCATTGATAGAGGAAATTGGCAGTATCAAAGAGGCGGAGAGATACACGTAGAGTACAACAAGCATCTCGCACGAATGCTGTGTCTTCATAGGACCACCATGTACAGCTCGTCCGAAGCCGCTACCGCCGCCCCATGTCAGCTAATTCGGATGGTGGACCGAAGACGTCAGCCATGCAGTATACAACGACAGCTAGAGATATGCGACGTACCCAGGTCCATAGTTGGGGCGTACTAAACGTTCAGCACATCGCGAAGGATGAAACTGGACCCAGACGGTGCGAGCTGCGTCATGGTACAGAAAACCGACGTATTCCAGCAGCGGACAGCTTTCCTCAACGATTTCTGGCCCGTACATCGTGCTGAACGCGAAGTACCACGGACCGCGAAGCATGCCATTTAGGCAGTAAGGGCCGTGGTCGTCGCGAAAATTAAGGTTGAGGTGTATCGTGCGCAACGACTTGGCACCAGCGAGTATGCGTGCTATGTGCACCTGTTACGTTTCGATGGGTCACGTCAGCATCGGGACGCACGGTACGAGTAACTATACCGACATGTTGCACGTATTCCGTCCGGATCTTACGATAGCGGTGGATCTCCGGATGGAACAACCGCGGGTACGCTCTCGCGACGTGGGCGAGCAGCTCGTCGTCCGAGCCTGCAATCGCAGCCACATATATAAGCTCGCGAGGTTGGGCATGGCAAGCTGTTTCAATATCGATAGACATTCCGACGGGGACAGAATGGGGAAGCACCAATCCTGTGGAACCACACGGACTCGATGGCCGAAACGGTGATAGTATCGTGGGCAGTCGCGCAGGGACAGATGAGTAAGGTGCCGTGTATCGATGGAGAAGATTCAGTCCCGGGGGTCAGGGAAGGCGATTGTGAGCGACCGCAGTTCAGGGAGAAGCGGTGCCGGCGAGGATACTTGTTCGGTGTCATCAGAGGATGCACGATGACCAGTGGATGATGTGTCATGGGACACCGGCGGGAGCAACGGTTGCCGACCGATGCGACGCGACCTGGCAGCTTGCACAGAGAGCACCCGTAAGGCCGGTAGTGACCGGAGAAGCAAGCGCAGTGAAGAAGACTGAGCGAGGACGACGAAACGACCGTGCAAGGTCAGTTCCCTAAGCTGGGGCCATGGTACAGACGCCATTGAAATGATAGGAGCAAATTCCATTGGCAAGGCAAGCGATGTAGCGGTCTTGTTCATGAGGGGAATGAGATTGGCGAGAAAACGGAGCTCGCGGGTATAGACCTTGATCAAATTAGTCCCCTTGCTCTCCTATTCTCTCCACATGGTCGGCGTGTACGCGAAGGTCTTCAGGGTGATGGGGGTGGAAGCGAGGTCGTCGCGTGAAATTGGCACTTCCTGGAGCCCGTAGCCGTGCAAAGAGAACGACAAGGAGACAATGCGCGGGTGGACCAGACAAGTGTGGAGAACCGTCCATGGGATATGGCCCATAGTGTTGTCGAGGGTGATGGAGGTCAGTGCAGGTAAATGGGATAGGACCAACTGGAAACGTTGATGGTGCTCTTCAGTGCTGAACGGTCCGAGGGCAGTGAGATGCCTAGATTGCGGCTCGTTATGAGTCGCATCGTTTGGCTAAGACATAATAGCATACCGGACGTATGGGATAATGTGGGAAGGAATGTCCTCTGAACGCACGCAATGGGCGGGCATGGGGGGTTGCGTATCTAGCTTGCAGCGGGAGAAAAGCATGGGGACAGCGAGGGACCGAAGTCTGCGAGATGTCGAGGAAATCTCGTGGAGGGACCCTCCTTCTTGGTGTAACTGTTCCGCGATCAGCCAGAACACTTCCAGACTCAGCAACTCCAGTCTTAAGGACGGATATAGTTGTTTAAGCAGTTCGATTGTAGAGAGACGATTTTCCTACGTACTGCGAGTAACGGGAAGTCGCCACACTTTCATCAATGTGGCTAACTCGCGCTTGAGACGGCACACCTAGCACCGGCAGAACGAGAGGTCTGTGAGTTATGATTCCAGGCTATAAACAGCGCTTTCAGTATCTCGAGCGTCCGGGAAAGCATGCAGGGCGAGTCTCTGCAGGTGTAGTAAGGGAGGCTGGCGAAGGTATAATCCACAAGGCATGATTGGGGCGAGTACTTTTGTTCCGTCCGAGTGGAGGAGAACAACAAGACCTCGATTTGCCAAGCCTTCGGCTTAGTCAGCGATGGTAAGAAGCGTGACACAACGCGCCGCTGTCTCGCGTCGCGTCGAGGGTAACGCGTGCTGCAGCGCGCAGCACGGCTTGACTGCAATCCATCACCACCATCGCATACTCCCTGAGGTCGTAGGCGTCCATCCAAAACATGTCGACCAACCGTTCACCGCGCGTCAACAAGACGCTTATGGCCAAGTACTCAGGGCAGACAGTCAGGCTCATCGCCAAATTAATCTCGGTGCGCACGCGTCATGCTTGAGCAACGAAGCCCAGCTGCTAACCCCGAGGGCAGCTCAAAGATGATACCGCTATTGTGGAGACCTCAGATGGAGGACAAGTTGAAGTGAAGCTGCTTAGGGTATGTGTATTCCACTGTCAGTCTAGCGTCGAACGCGTCAAACAGTGACGGCCCATTGCAACCCTCACAGAACTTCAGCCATGGAAGCACGTATCTAGAGGTGATTGGCCAAGTCCAGGATGAGCGAACAATCAAAATGGTTGGCTGTGTTAGCTTGGGGGATGATGTTGGTGAGTCGTCCCTGTTGGACTATCAAGTGATCGACGTCTCTCAATGCATACAACGTGCAGACATGAAGCTCGTGGACCAGATTGTGCAAATATGGCACGATTCGAGGTTTGCTAAGGTGTTCTGATTGCTTTGCTGTCTGTCTCTGTTGCTCCGTGAGTCTACGCTTTTTCAACTCTTGTTGGTGGTTGTGCGCTAAATATGATCCAACAAGCTCTGCTCTCGTGTATATCTACTTCATTTGTATCACTGCAGTCATCAACCATGTCTTTTCCCTATTGGCAGTCCAACCACACCATGGGTGATCAGACGTGACAAACTATCGTGGTGAGGTACACGCATACATGGGCCGATATTCATGGGCACAGGCATCAAGAACTGGGAAAGGGGAAATACAATTCAGTACGTCTATATCACGGTCGAACTCATGCAGCGAGAAGTATGTCTCTCAGGTTGGATATAACAGGAAGAGCCTGAACAACTGCGATACCGGCTGCTCCAGGACCGTAGCCTGCCAGGGACGCAGACCTCGTATGTTCATCTCCAGTACCCACAAGTCTGTGTCCAGTACCTCTCTTGTGACCCGCCTTTACCTGCGCGTTGGTCCCGTCTCTTCGTTTCTTCGGCTAGTCCTCGACCAGCCGCGCAGAGCGCTTCCTCCCCCCCCCCCCCCCCCCGACGGGGCAACGCTCCCAGGGCGGACGAGGATCCATCCAGGTACGTCCGCCTCTGAGTCTCCAGGTCTCTCGGTCTCCAAATCCGTCATATCCGCGTTCCGGGTCCAAAACCAATCGCGAGTACGCCCCGCGCTGCGCAGGCGACTCCGCGAGCGGTCTCGTACGCCCTGCGAGGGACACCTGCCCGTAGCGTCTTCTCGGGCGTACTCGTCCGTCCATCTTCCTGTTACCTCCGGGTCCGAATCCTTCATCACTTCCGACGACGGCCTCCCGCGTCCGGCGGCTCCCTCGGACGGACGCGGCGCCCGTGCCCGTCAGACGAGGGAGCCGTACGTGTAGTCCACTTCGGCGCCGAGCCAGTTAGGATGTTCCGGAATCCTGCGACAGGCGATATCGACGGGAGAGGGAGAGCGGGCAACCTCGGCCGCGGCCACGATGTCAGGCTGCGGAGCAGCTGCTGGAGTTCCACGAGCGAGGTAGCGGCGTCGCGATCCATGTCGGACGACGTAGACTCCATCTGATGGCCGTCGTTGTGCATCTCGGATGTGGATGAGGCGGCAGGTCTCTCTTCAGGAGAGGGCAGGAGAAGGGGCATGTATGGGGATGCAAGTTGGTTGGGTAAGACCTGGGATTCGACGCGCTCGAAACCCTCCAGGTCTATCGCGACCATGATGCGAGAAGCCGCCCGTCTCATGTAAACTTCGTGACCGTCGGCGTCGAGAGCGCAGCGTATCTTCACATCACGCTCTTCCGAGCCGAAGATCATTGGCTGTGGCTCTGCGGGCCCTAGGTTCACATGTCGCCGTCCACAATAGGGCAATGATATGATCCCTCTGTTCGGTATCCGTACCTGATATACTGGACCTGGTCCACTGTGAGCCAGTAGCTCACTGTGTCCTGGAATTTGGCTAGAATGAGAAGACAAATGCACCTCGATCCACCAGTCTTGAGGCCTGATAGGATAGGGTAGCACCCGCAGCCCACTCCGAAGCGTATGGTCAGAGTTTGGCTGCGCGTTGATCTAATGAATGGTATAGTGAAGACGGGATCGTTGCAAAGAGAGGTGTGTGCATAACCCCGCACGATCAAATGGAGGCCGTCTTGGCCAGCAAGGCCTTCGGGGTGCATGTCATATTGATGACCGAGATGGGAAATGACCCAAAATGGAACAAAGAACTCGTAATGTTGCGAACAAAGTTGAACCCAGCTGAGTTTCGGGTCAGCGTAACTTGGTGCCTTCCAAAACCAGAACTGTCGACTCGGCGTTGCGTACTGACCAATCCGCGCCTTCACTCTCCGGAAGTCCATGGGACTGTGGTTGAATCGGACTGTGTGATAAGTGCACCTCGATATACTGAACAGCTAGCGGGCTCGGCCACCGATGTCCCTATTAGGAACACAGGCCGCTCTTGAGACGTAACACCCACAGTGCTCCACGTCTCAAGGACCAGTACCACAACGGATGACTCGTCGCCACAAGCTAAGGCAGCCGCATGTATGTGGGCTCCATCTTCCCGTTGGATACTGTCGCAAGAGATCAACAAGTCCATGTCTACTCCCGCGTTTGTAAACGTGCAATGCACGTCCGTGAGGGTATGACCAGAGTCCTTGAGCAAGCGCGGGTTCGCACCCAAATGAGCCGAGTCTGCGAAGTAGTCCAGTGAGGGCGAGAGGAGGAAGCCAAGTGAATATTCTTCACTCGGTTGTTTCCAGCTGTCGAGTCTTCGCAATTTATTGTACACATCATATGTGTTCATGCTAGGCCGTTGAATGCACTCGTGAGCGCGGTCGAAAGATGGATGAATGGGTCCCCAAGCGAATATACTCTGGTCCTTCTCACGCTTCAGGATCTCCTTCTGCAGTCTCTGGAAAGCATCTGAGCCCTCGCCATAAATGATAAGCATAGAGATTCCAAATAACCCGAGAAGAGAATACGCCCTGTCCTCGATGCGCGTAGTTTCGCGTTTCGACGCCCAAGACATGCGCCGTGCTATGCTAGTCCGTGCGTGGAGGCAGTCGGGGGCACGTTGCAACAGAACGTCGAGATCAATCCCAGTAATCTCCGTGAGTACGTTCGCCAAAGAGACCTTGGTGCCGATGGTGTGCCACGACTTCGAAAGGAAGATAACGTAACGCGGGGCAATCAGCTCCTGAAGAGTCCAGCCTCGCGTGTGCCACCGACTGCTTCTGAAAGTGGATGAGGGCATCTGCGGATCGTCGTCGTCGACGTCGAAAAGGTAGACGTGGCAGACGTCGGCGTCCCGATACCAGTAGAACATCGAGTTGATGGCCTCGGAGAGCTCGGCACTGCTACTCTTGTCGATGCAGCAGGTATCAAGCACTCGTAGCCTGTGTGCTCGGCGTAGATGCAGAAATTCCGCACCTTCGACGACATGAGCGTGCTGCGGTAGTGTCGCACGTGCTTTTTGATCCTCCATACAATTCTCTCGTAGGGTGCTGCTCGGGAGTTGCGGTCTTTGGACATCGAAGACGCCCTGCGTACTGGTGCATGGTATCGGAGACCTTGTTTGAGTGGGGTCAGTGGGACGACGTCTCCCCTATTCGTGATCTCAGATAATTCGCAAGAAACTTCTGCATGAATGCCACAACCATGTTAATTCGTAGTATGTGATATAATGTCGAGATCCACGTGTACAGATACGAAGTTGAGGACTTGTACTAGTAGGATCCCATGTGAATCAGATGACATTGTCCAGGCTCGGAGCTCTGATGAGAGCTTCTGCGGCTAGGGAGCGTGGAACGATACGGCATGCGAATGGCTCGGGACGTCTTGGTGTGACCTCACGATTAGTTGTGCACGAAGCAAAGGCCGGTAACCAAGTAGCACTCACGATAATGCAGAATCGAAAGGAATCCGAGGATCGACTATCGCAACTGAGCCGTCGTCATTTACAGGGGGCTCGACGGTGAAGACATGAAGGATTGACGCGATCATGAGGAAGGCAGAATCGAGAGCGAAGTGTCTTCCCGGGCACATTCTGATCAAAACGTGAGTGTACTATATCAATTGCTGGCTGGTCCATGACGACCTACCTGCGTCCGAATCCAAATTGGAACTTGAATGGATCTCTCACATCGGGATCGAGCTGGCCGTTCTTCAAGAAGCGTTCCGGCATGAATCTCTCAGGATTGGGGTATGCCACTGGATCCTGAGCCATCGCCCTGAAACATTGCGCTCAGCGTCATCCAGCATCAGGGTGTTCAAGCGATATACCAGGCGTTAGGTACGAGAATGGATCCAGCAGGTATCCGATAGCCGTCGTATATCTCCTCGTGAGTGGTGGCGTGAGGGAGGCCAAGAGGCAGGATGCTATGCCAGCGCACGCATTCCTTCAAAATGGCGTTCACGTAGGGCAATGAGTCGCGGTCCGAAAAGTCGGGGAGTCGGTCTTGACCGACAACTGCGTCCAGCTCAGCCTGAGCGCGACGCTGAGTTTCTGGGAACTTGGCCAATGCGAGGAAGAATGCTGTCATCAAAGCGTACGTCTAGAATTCGGTTAAGTACCCGCGCGTAGAGACGCTTGTGCATGAAAACCTGCCGTGTCCACTCCAGCTGGCCAAGGAAGGTAAGTCGACTACGGATGAATGAGATTGCTTGATCTCACCTACGTAGGCTACGCCTGTGACGTCTCTGTAGTGCTCTTCGTCGCACGAAGAGATATTCGCCTCTCCTCCTATCCCGGAGCGCTCCATCAGGGAATGCGTCATACACGGACGAGCCCGGCCCTGAGCCTGAGCAATCTCATCATCAGCATTAGCTGAAGCTCAGAAACAGTACGTACCATGCTCTCCACTACAGCGTCGAAGGCGACGTTTCGGACAGCAAGAATGTCTTCCTTCCATACTCTCGCGATCCTCTTGAAGTGAGCCCCAGGGAACCACGTCGGGATGTGGGCCAACCATGGGAGGAGCTCAACGATAAAACGTCCAGGTGCCGTGATCTCGCTGAAGATCCTAGCACCCTTCTCCGCAATAGCGACGTACTTGTTGTGGTCGCCTGTCACATCGATGCCGTATATCGTATTCATCACTGAACCTCCTATCACCCTACCGTAGTATATCGTCTCAATAACTTAGCTAGCATCCACGAGTTACCAACTGACCGATGGGTGTGGGCAAGGAAATCCTCGGGAGCATCTAGCAGTGCGCTCAGGAGTTTCTTACACTCTCGAAGATGTATAGAATAGTACTCCTGCACTGCGCCCCGGTGAAAGAACCGGTGGAACGTCCTCCGGTAGCTGCGCCAGGTGGGGGCGTATCGCTTCACAGCGAACTCCCACATAACGCCGGCACTGCTCCCTGGTAAGCAAAACACTCAAGCGTGAGCACCATCATGACAGCACTTACAGTTCTGCCATCACAAGACGCGGTCTATCGGACGTGTGGGCAGAGCGGGACTCTAGCAGTGCCACTGCAGCATCGTAGGATCCGAGTACGACAGTTGTCCCGCCTAGAACATTGAGAGATACGATGTCACCTATTGATGTGCTAGTCCCTGAGCGCCATGACCGGAGGGAAGTGACAGTACATACCGTGTTCCTGACTCATCTCCAGAAAGGTCGGGGCCATGTCCTTTGTGGGCATGTCAAGTAAATTCCCAATCAAGGGGAGGGAATGTGGACCGGGAGGTAAGGGAAGAAGTGGCACAGCGGGTCGTCTTCGCGTCCACAAGACTGCCAAGACCAGCATGACGAGCAGCAGGGATCCTGGGGAGGGAACGGCATCTCCAACAACGGATGTCAGCATTGCTGCTACGGATAGTCCTAAGGAGCGGGCGGGACAGCTCCATTGCTTGACTACTTATATACAGCCTAAAGTCCTGTCCAGCGTCCGTGATAAGACGTCGATACGACCTCACCTGACTGGCTCTTCTGATCTTGTCCGCGATTTGTGGAACCTTGCGGGAAGCGCCGAGTGTTCTTACGGAATGGCTATTACCTGCGAAGGCTCGAAGTGTCAGCCTTCCTGCGAGCATGCTGTCAACGTAAGGTACTTTGCCAACTAACTTCGACGAGCTAGCGCCTGCAAGATATCACCGCTATTAGACTCTGGCAAGTCTCCTGCAGTAATGACCCGCAAAGTTACCGCACCATATCCGATGGAGAGAATGTCCTTATAGTGTGCGACCGCCTGATGGCTTGCCTGAACACTTTCGCTGTCTAGTTTGCTTCTGCATCAACGAACTGACACCGGGGTTACAAATGCCTGTCCTCATTCAGGAGCAGGAGTTTGAGTGTGGTGCATGATAGGTGACGCGCCGCTTCTTCCAGGGACGAAGCTTTGCCCCATACTGCCAGGAGCGAGAACCACGCTCAAAAACGTGCGAGTAAGCTGTGATGGAAGTTCAACCGCCCAGTAGCCATGTAGTGACGTCTTCTGGCCACAAAAATCGGCGCAAGCCACCTGTTCATGGGCTGACTGCCGCATCTTGGAGTCGAATCAGATACAATATTGATTGAGCAGGCAAAGTTCGGGCGGACTGCACCTATACCAGGGAATTTGCGGTTGACATGGAACGCCGCAGCTTCAAAATGCTAGATATAGCGCCGTCATAGTCACGTTTGTCGAAGGTGAGATAGGACTGGAACCGCGCAAGTTGAGTAGGCCGAGTAACGGATGCATGCAATCAGGACGTGGCCGTTGGCGATTGCAAGTTCATCTCTGGACGCCATCATTAAGCGCCTTTGCCACAATAGCCCTGCGACAAAGCGAGGGCGATTATGGACGACATACATAAGTGCACTAGTCAATTCAAGCATGGTAAATTCATCCGAGCTGCCTCTGGAACGAAACTTAGACGTAAGACAACAGCAGCAACCATGATGACTCCAATGAAGGAAAAAAAAAGTTAGCAACTCCTGGTTTCGATCCAGGGACTTCAGGGTTATGAGCCCTGCACGCTTCCACTGCGTCAAGTTGCTATACATGGAATGCGCAATCTGTATATATGATGCAAGGGGAATGGTCCTAGTCACGTATGTAGCGTGAGAGGTGTACCATGTTCAAGACATCTCCTAGCTCAGGCCCGGGAGGGATATATAACGTTAGGCTCATCAATCAGTCAAGCTACTACTCGCAGAGTCACTACTGTTGATGCATACAAGTTGCAATCCGTAGCACGGTCATCGTGATTGGTGCGTCCTACTTTCTGAACAAGTTGTATCGTCCTGTGGTTCATTATTATACTCCATCGACAAGTGTGCAGGCAAGGGTTCGCTGGCTGGGAAGATCTAGGGAACCCAATGGGGATACGACCCCCTAGCGCGCACACGCTGACAGTGACACAGCGCTCAACCAGACTCGACTAGGTCACCTCAAGGCACCTCACGAGTCCCCACCGTCGAACGATTTTAAGCTGTTGGCGACGCGTCCTCTACGTTCAATCGCCCCCTGTTTCCGCAAGGATGTGAGTTGGAGCTGCGTTGTGTTGTGAGACCGTCTGTCTGATTACACGCGACAGGCCCCCACGTCGATCTGGACGGCTGAGAGTGCAGCCTTCCAAGCCCGCGACCAACGTCTTAGATGCGCCTTATAAGGACTCACAACGTATCACAATCACAGACCTTCCCATCGAAATCGTCCGCCTCGTCATAGACTACCTGCAAAGCGACAGGAAGACCCCTACTCTAAAGAGCTGCTCGCGCCTCTCTCGATCTTGGCGGGATCTGGTCTTCTCCTACCTTTTCACCGCTATCAAACCCTTCAGTGTCCTGCGACTCTCCGAATTCACGGCATTCCTCAAGTCAACTCCGCACGTCGTACCCGTCGTCAAACAGGTCGTCATCGTGCGCGCTGAGCGAGTGGGACCGGCTGTCTTTAAGGAAGACATAGTCACCTTCGATCGCGAGTCTCCCTTTGTTTACTTGGTGGAAACTCTACGGGCACTAGAACGTCTGGTATGCCAGGGACTGGTATTCTCGCCTCCTACAGTGTCCAACGCGGTAGTCGATGCGATTCCCAGTTCATCCCCACTGCGACGCTTAGTATGGACCGGATGCGACGCCAGGATGCCGGACAGCTCTGCTCGGTTGGCTCCCATTTTCTCCGCCCTCACTTTGTTCAAGGCGGACACGCTCGATTTGGTCATGCCATATAGTGGCATGGTGCCGCCGGAGGAAGATATCACTTCCATCAGACCACTCGCCTACAAGACCCTCATTCTGCGAGGCAGCAGGGACAACTCTTCGGCCCTTTCCTCCTTCCGCCAAATTCTAGCCCCTGACTGCCTCCGATCGCTGTCAGTGTCGGTAGGGGAGCCGCAACATGTTGTCAAGCTCGGCGAGCTTCTCCACAAGGTTGGTTCGAACCTCGAATACTTGAGAATCAACTTCCACAACATGCATACGCCCGAGCGCTGGGCAGGTGCGTAGATTCCGACGTCCTTGGTCACGCGATACTGAACTTGAGCACCAGGCTCTGTGCTGGAGGCGTTGAAGCTAGAGTCCTGTCTTCGTCTATCGAGTCTAAACATCACAATGCTCTGGGGCGACAACGGAGGCCGCGATGCAAGTCATCTCTCGGGGTCTGCTCTGGCCAAGATCCTCAAACAGGCACCTCCAGATCTGCAAGAGATCAGAATACCAATCTTCCCGCCCTTCGACCGCTTCGGTCCCCCCGAGGTCTTGGACACGCACGAGCTCTATGCGGTCCAGAGCATTTTCAAGCAGCGCACACTTTCGGCGCTCCGTGCGTTCATCTTCGAGCTCACCGATTGGGGGCGGGTTGAGGAGTACGGTCTTTGCTTGAAGGAGATGTTTCCAGACTTGCACGAGAGAGGGATACTTAAGCTGGAGAGTATGGTGAGTGTACCTCGAACGGAGTGACGCGTGATGCATAGATTCTTACTTCACTTTGATCGGTACAGAATTATGGTTCTCTTGACGAGGCCTTAGACGTGTAGATCATGGCTTCTTGCACCACCATCCTTGGACATCAATGCGCGTTCCTCCTCTCACTACCTGAGTATCTTGTCGGCCTCTTAGCCGGCCTCGAGTGTATGTACGTATGTACCGCCGCTCTCGTCGATCGCAGAACCCAGTGCGAATTGGGTGTATCCTGGAAGCACGGACGCTGGTCCCTGAATACGTCGGTCTTCCTGAAACATCGTCAACGATGCAATCATGACGGATTGCGCTAGGACGGTGCTGTACTGCAGTCCCGGTACAGAAGCAATGGTATCCCACGCGCTGACTCGGAAGTGCCAGCCTTTGAAGCTTTCCACGACGAGTATGTCTCCATCTCTCGCCTCAAAAGCTGTGCTGTCTAGTTCCTCTAACAGCCTTCTCGAAGACCATAGCAGGTCAACCCCACGATTCTAGGGCCTAGCTCGCCGTTTCGTCGGTATGGCTCGCCCCAACAACCCCAGTTGTAGCAGAAGGCTCGTCAGCCAACTTCCTGCAACGTCTGGACTCACGCCCGCATACCTTCAGATGTATCAACTCTTTCTCGCTTGTTGCGCTGGGCAAAGTCCGTGAAGATCAAACACCGTGAGACTTTGTGGCGAACTCTTTAGGCGCTGATCAAGTCAGTCACGTGCATGAGGTTCTATCATGCCGCTAGATGGGAGATGGTCGAAGTAGCCGCAGAGAACCGACAGCAGAAGAGGAAATGGTACGTACATTGAATCGTGATGACAGATGTTAATGTGACGGACGATTTGTGCGGGATACTCAACTGAGTGGCGCATCGCTTGGAGTCGTCGCAACGGTGCGGTGGACGCACTCCGACTCCCGAGCCGGATCCAGCAAGGAGGTGAGACCAACTGACAGGTGTATACACGGCCGACAAGAAAGTTACTTGGTACGGCAAGTACCCTGCGCAGGAGTGGCGGGGACAAATAGGTGAACAAACATATCGCAACAGACAAAAGCGACGAGGGCCGCCCATGAGACCGACAATTGCCATCCCAGGCAGGACACGAGGTGGTATGCCGCGGCCGTTCGAGTGCGGTTGTTTGGTCAGGATTGTCACACTGACAGAACTGCCATAGATAGCGAAAAGCAATCCGTGCTCGTCCTCAAAGCAATCGAGAGGCCAATCCGCCCATGATGCGAAGCTATAAAGCTGGGGTCGATTTCGGTCTTCTGGGCACCACCACCACTGACCTCCTAGAGTCGATTTCCCTCGCCTCCCCAACATAACCAACCACATACCGAACATACCATCCTTCCGAGCCACTTCTCCCGCATCATACCTCTCATCCACCCCACCCTACTTCTCATCATCCCGCAATGGCACCTATACGTGGAGAGACGGACAGCAAGCTCGCTGAACCAACCTACACCGAAGAGTTCGTTCAGAACGAGGATGGAGACTTCA